AAAAAAAAAAAAAAAAAAAAAAAAAAAAAAATGCAATGGCCCACTTCATTCTGAGCTGTACTTTTGTTAACACAATTAAGCCAACGTGTTGGCATATAGGCAACACTGCTCCCTCCCTGGAAGAAAGAAAAATTATGGATGAGAGAATACCTATGACAAGGCAATTTCCTTTCAGAGGCCAAAAATACAGAACACAGGCCAAGAGATGTAGCACTTTGAATCCTGTTCATTAAAAGGAAAAACACAATGATGACAAAGAACAACTTCATCACAAGCCAGTGTGAAGCATTACCAAGACAATTCACAAAAAGAAACTGAGTACCACTGACCCTTGAATATCATGGGTTTGAATTGCATAGGTCCACCTCCATGTGGATTTTATTTACAACACAGTCCTATAAATGTATTTCCTCTTCCTTATGATTTTAACATTTTTTCTCTAGCTTACTTTAAGAATACAGTATATAAAACATACACAAAACACGTGTTGACTATGTTCTGCATAAGGCCAACAGCAGGCCACTAGTAAATTTGGGGAAGTCAAAAGTTACACATGGATTCTTGAGTGCCCCAACTCCTGCATTGTTCAAGGGACAACTGGTAAAAAATATTCTGAGCTAAGAAAGGTGTGAAAAACCAGGATAATGTGAATTATCCAATATAATGTCTCCAGCAAAAAGCCTAGACTATTCTTATTAGTTCTAAGCATCCTGGGCCACCTAAAAACATGGCACCAATCTTGATCAATGAGGATACGAACCCCTTTAAGACCTGTGGAGAGCTCTGGCCCTGCATTTTGGATTCACAAACTCTTTGAAGCCCACCCACAGAACCCAGGCCAAGACCTCAGGCTCTGTGTTTTGTAAAAGTATTCTAAAGCAGAATTTTTTAGAGCCATGAAATTACTCTTAATTTTTTAATTTATTTTTGAGAGAGAGAGAGAGAGAGAGAGAGAGAGAAAGAGTGGGGGAGGAGTAGAGAGAGAGGGAGACACAGAATTGGAAGCAGGCCCCAGGCTCTGAGCTGTCAGCCCAGAGCCCAATGTGGGGCTGGAACCCACAAACCGTAAGGTCATGACCTGAGCCAAAGTCGGAAGTATAGCCAACTGAGCCACCCAGGCGCCCCTACAGCCATGAACTTACTCTTAACCATCTACTTAGCCTGATAGTTACAAGTATGACTAAACATTGTGTCAAGAATCAAAACAGGAATAACTATGTAGCCCTTAACTAGTATTCTAAATTGCTCAGACAACTAAGTGTCAAATTGAGATTAAGTTCACTATTTCACTAGTGCTAGTGTTCTACAATGGACCAAAAGTAAGTACAATAGTTCAAAACGCTGTTTACAACAAACCTTATGAATACAACACAAAGGAGGTGCCAAAAACCTCAAAATATAGAGAACACTTGATTTGGTTGGAAATCACCAAAACCTGTTGATAGAATTGATACATGAGCATATTTTTAAAACACTTAATTATGAGCTTTGAGAAATGGAACTGCATTCAGATATACAATCTAAGATAAGACAATGAAAAACTCAACTCACCAGCAATTTCTACAATATCACCAGGAACTATGTCCTTAGCTTTAATCCGCTGTACACTCTTTCTGTCCTGTCGATATACTTTGCCCATTTCAGGCTCATATTCCTTAAGGGCTTCAATAGCATTCTCAGCATTTCTTTCCTATAAAAAAGATAAAAGCAATGAACATATACCCACCACTGCAAATTAGTATTTTATTCCAAGGAATCAAATTTCAGACTTCTCAACTTAAAAAAAAAAAAAAAAGACACCAGAGATGCACATTCATGACATTTATTAACAATACACATCATAAGATGATAAACACTAGGCTCTTAGGATTCTGTGCTAGAAAACGAAGAAGCCAAGCACCCTAAGAAGGATAAGGGAATAAAACAACAGGGAAAGCCGTTACAGAATCTGTCATCCCCAAGCCCACTGTGTAACATGGCCCTCACCTCCAAACACAGCCACACCACTGAAACCGATCCTGTCTCAGTAAAAGGTGCTGGTCTAGGATAGACTGCTTAGGGTCACTGCAGGCTTTTTTCGCTTAACAGCTATGTGACTGTGCGTGAGTTACACAACGCACAAGGTTTGGTGCCTACAAAGCTTAGACACTGACGCTACTACCTCAAGCACTGTGAGGATTAACAAACCATTTAGACTGTGTTTTGGCACACAGTACATGCTACAGGTCATCACCTGTAAAAAAAAAAATCAAGTTACATCTCACAATTTCTAGGAGATCTTTCTACAGTACTGAAAACCAATAAATGGCTGGAGTCTCATAAGAGAACTGCCAGTCCCATACCATATTTATTGTAATACTGCATATGAACATATCAAAAATTAGCCACACAGTTTTTCTTTCCAAATTTCGAGATGAAAGATACAGAAATCAAAATGAGTAATGCTTAAAAAAAAAAAAAAAGCTACGGGAAGGTTCCTGTAAGGGGGTGAGAAAAAAAAAGAAGAAAGAAAAGCACATGTGCCATTTGTCTCCTCTCATTTTGGAGACTAAGCAATCAGAAGTGAAGGAGCAAATCGACACAGTGCATGCCCAAGAGGGCTACTCAGTGCACGAAGGACAAGGTTCATTTCTCACTTTTTGCTTTCTGATATAAAGCTCAATTTAACCTTTATTTGGACAGAATTTATGCACAATACCAGGTGATCTCATTTTTTACCCTACTCTAAGAATTATGGTCTGTTGTGAAAAATCCTGAAACCTGCTTAAAGTGAAATGGAGAGGACTCAAAACTGAAAGCTAGGGGCGCCTGGGTGGCTCAGTCGGTTAAGCGTCCGACTTCAGCTCAGGTCACCATCTCGCGGTCCGTGAGTTCGAGCCCCGCGTCAGGCTCTG